TATATATATATATATATATGTATATAACCGTCCTCCTAAAATACGAAGAAAGTGCTGTCTCAGAGACAAGCTCAAGGTGGTTTGGGAAATAATTATGCACACGATCACACAGCCAGTAAACAGCAGAGAGAGCTGTGACCTGGGCTGAGATCTGATCTGACTCCCTGTAATCACAGCTGGAATGTCCTAATAACAAAGTATTATCATTGTCGCTTCCATAATAGTACAATAATAGTCGTCTTCACAACCATAATGTTCTGTACCTTAACACCTCCCTCTGTTATTTCATTGTACTTATATGCCACCTTGTCCTATAAAAATAACTCAAGATAGCTTACAAGAGTGTGAAACCTACACAAATGAGATGGAGAAGGCACCTAAAACAGAGCCTGAAATGGGACCAGCAGATGGCGCAGTGGTTGCGACGCTAGACTCCCACGTAGTAGACCATGGTTCCAGTCTTGGACCTGGGGACTTAAAATTTGTAACAGGCTCGTGTGCATGCATGCCCGAGATCCCGAGAGGAGAATGGAAAAAAAGGGATTGTGACAGCCATGCCCCTCGGGGTGATTTCTCCCTTTCTGTATCTCTTTCTGTCTCTTAGGTGAGTGCACATGCCCTATAGCCAAAATCTCTCTTAAAAAAAAAAAATAGGAGCCTGAAATGAACATCATTTGAAAAGACTGCACCCCCTAAAGTCCAATACACTTGCTGCAAGTGGGACCACTATTTGTCTCCCACATTCTAGCTGTCAAGTTCAAAAGGGAGGCCTTTCTAAAATTCAAATCATATCATATGCAAGATTAAAAAAAAACAAATGATTGCTCAATAGAAGATCCGCACTTTCTGATAACTGAGACCAGCAAGAAATTTCTCCAGAGAATTCTCATGAGCGTTGAAAGGTATAAAGAACCAAATCCTGGGCCAGGCCATGGTCTTGCGGTAAGGGAAGCCAGATCCCACGTGGCAGACTGCAGTTCCAACTCCTGGCCCTGGTGGCTTGGAAAATACATGTACTCCAAATCCCAACAAGATGGAGAAATGGAGGCGAAAGGATTTCAGCATGACCACCCTCCACTGGTGGATGATTTCTCCCTCTCTGTCTCTTTCTCACCCTCCTTGTCTATCTCTGTCTCTCTCTGGCAGTGCATGACTTTCTGGCAATAAACAAACAAACAAACCAAATTCTTAGTCACACATGTGATAAAGGGCAGGTGGATGTTAAATAAAGATTGAGTATCGACAGTCTTCCTCACTCCTGGGCTCTGAGCACAAAAATAGTTAGGACTAGTATTATACCTCCTTCCTCATATAAGCACTAAACCTTAAAACAATAACAACAACAACAACAAACTGTGGATGTGATAAGGATGAAGATTTATTCCTATATCTGTGTGTTGATATCTATGTCCTTCTAACAGCCTTACGTTGAGTCTTTGACTTTGTTTGTAGAGATCTTCTCTAATGACCAGGTGAACTTTTCACTGATGTCTGCTCTCCAGAAGGAACTCTCCACTACCTCTCTCATGAATACTTAAATCTATTACTCCCATCTTATATGTATATGGTATTCCAAGTCCTCGTGTTTCTCCATCACTAAGTCGTAAGTTATTTGAGGTCACAGACAGATCTGATAGTTCTTTAGGTCTGTGGTTCCATAGAACAGCCAGCTTTGGGCACCACACATGGGACATTATCAATAAGTTGCTGTTGACTTGATTTCGAAGGAGGAAGATTAGATCCTTCCAGATTACTTCTGGAGAAAGGGTGCATATTTTCGTTTTCCTTTATGTGTTTGTCCAGGATTGACAAGTTTGCTGGCATTGTACCCTGAAGCTTTCATGGGATCCCCTTCACAGGGATATCTGGGTCTTCTGCACGTCTTGCTTCCCTCTTGAGAACACAGCCCGTCCTATCCCATCTTTTCACTGAGACTTTGGACAGCAAAGTGCTTCTAGGTGGCAGAGGAATGGTCCAGACATACGCTGCATATACATTTGTACATATGGCGAATGGGTAACATGGACCTTTATGTGAATGTGTAGTTACATATTCTAGGTTCCTATGTGTTTATATGTACAGAGAGGCTCTTTGGTGTATATTCGTATTAAAGATACATGTTGGTAGTTATACACTTGCAGTCCATTACATAGATAAGCCGTAGAAAGCGAGGTTATTAGTTTACTCAAGAAATGCGGCTTGCTAAGTTTTCTGAAGAAAGAGGCCTGTGTATGCCCAGCACATACTTCCTCTCTGACTTCCTGAGAACTGTGCCCTCCACTTGCATCTGATTCTGCTTCTGGGCCCACCTGAGCTCTTTCATGAGGTTTTCTGGCTACTCTTCCACGAGCAATATGTCTTTTCCAAACAGTTAAAATATTAGAAGCTAGCAATGTCTCTCTCTTTGCTCTTAGTCTTTCTGCTGTTGTATGAGCTACCTCTTGCCCCAAGAACAAAGTTCTTTTCTTGCAGAACCCTTATCTTTCCTCCTCTTCTGCATCTCCGACCTTATCGATAGCCAATAACCAAAGTCTCTGTAGCAGCTGGGTGTGGACAACTGCTTTCCTCTGCCCACTCCTTGGACCAAAGCATGGCTCCTTTCACCCCTGGGCTTCTGTCTGTCTATCTATCTTGATTCATGATAGAGCATGTACATGAGAGGGAGAGAGAGAAAGAGAGAGAGAGAAGCACCCTCCACAAGGAATGGTCATTCATCCATCTTCTCCAGTCCTCAGCCCATCAGATCCTGAGCACTTGCAAAAACCCACTGCGTTTCAGGCCAAGCGGGCTGGGGATTTGAACCCTGGTCACCATGTGGGATCTGGCTTCTTTTGAGCAGCACATCACTACTGTGCCATGGAGCCAGCCCCCCTACGCCTTTAGAGGCGGAGCTTGTGGTTGGATTCCTGCTTGTTGTTTCTCTGTTCTTGGCATCCCGCGTGTGTGACATGCCTCTCTGGGAGTCTCTGTACAGGCCCACTGTTTGGGAGAGTGCCCTGTCCCTTTGAGGTACCCTAGGATTCTCCAAAGGAAATTTGATGAACGTCTAATAAATTGTATTTTAAGCCAGATCATTCCACACCTAAACCCTACATGTGGAAATCCATCCTTGTTTCAGCTTTGAAGGGTGCTGCCAGCGCCGCCAAAGTCATACTTAGGTACATCACAGAGCCCATATTTTCAAGCACATTGGCCTAAACAGTCTCTCTAAATCCAAGCAAATTTAATGTTGGCAGCTTTTGAAGGTACTAATTCAATGAACACATAGAAACATGTTTTATCCTGACTTTTCCTCCTAGTGAGAGGGGAGCTCTGGGAGGGATTTGGACAGAGGGATGGAATCTGACATCTGTTTTAGTGGAGGTCACTCATGCTGACGAGGAGGGAGGGTGGAAGTTGTTGGTAGAAATGGCCCTCAAGGTTTGCAGCTGGGTGAACCTCAAGGGGCCACGGCTCTCACACTGCAGTGAACCCTCTGTGTGAGGAAGCCGTTGTACATCCCCGTGGCTCACCTCACGTACATGCATGCTACGTGTATAACTGAAACCCCTGCTGCTTGAGACAACGTTGACCCTCACTATGTGGGCTGCCCTCTGGCCCTTTAAGCTTATTATTTTTTCTTTGAAATTAAACAAAAGAACAAAAATGCTAATCAGAACCACTAGATTAATCCATTACCAGGTTATGATCCTAGTTTATAAAATACAACTTTAAGCCTACCCCTCATGATAACAACATATTTGATAAATATCTCTGGAAAAGGGAACTAGGTGGTTTGGAGTAGGGGGACTCTTCTCCCCCCTGCTATGTAACTTTTATTTTTGTATTATTTGCATCTATTCAATCAGTAAATGCTATTTTGAATGATTCTGACATAGAACTAGAACTTCTGGCTTTCAGATCCTTGTCCGAATGGGTCTGAAGATGTGGAGGGTGGAGCCAGCAAAGATAAGTTGCTGGTGAATCTGCTTTGTTCAAGCTTGTCAAACAACATCTTTTTTTTCGTAAATGTTTGGTGGCAGAATGGTATAGTGTTTAAAAGTGCGAGCTTTGGAGTTGGACTGAGCTTGAATTTT